ATATATATATATAGGAATCAAAATCAAAATTCTCTCACTTTAAAGAAACTAAAAATATATTTTAGCTATAAAATTGTTAATTATATACCTACTTTTTTTATTTCTAAATATAAATTGTGATATGATTATAAATTCTTTTTTATTTTAGTTTTTTATGTATTATATTAATAAAGAGTAAAAAGTATTTTTAGTCTCTATAGAAATTTTCAAGTTTGAGTTTAATCCTTTAAATTTTTTGTCTTATTTTGATTCTTCTAATTTGGAGATGTACCACTTTTGTTTCTCAAAATTATTTATATAACACCTTATAATAAACAATAGTATAGAAGTAAATTGAATGAAAAATATAATACATCCTTTTGATATTTTTAACATTATGTTATTTGTTTAATATAATAAAACATTCATTTTTAAATAAAATTGTGCATATAATTTTATGTTATAAATATTTATATTTTAAAATATTTATATATAATGACTCATAAGAACAAGTCATATTAATTTAAGTGTTGCTAATCTAAGTCCTCTTAAGTAAGGTATCTGGGTTGCTAGTCTAAGTCCTCTTATGTAAGGTATCTAGATAATCAATCAGATTCTCCGATAAAGATTAGTCACCGGTAAAGTTGGTGGATATTTTATAACAATTGTAACATGATTACTAAAAAAGAATATAAGGACCCATATCTATCATTTCATCTAGGTTCCATAAAATGTCAGGAATGACCTTGATGATTTGTGAAGCTAGGTGTTGAAGGAATCAATCGAGATGGGGGGAGATGAGTGAACCAATTCAATGTTCTTCCCTTCGAAAAGGTAAGGAAGATACAACATAATATTGCATTGTCATTCATACTAAGAGTAACATGCATGAGAAAAACGTCTATATGTTCATCTAGGTTTGATGTACCATCATACCTATCCAAAGGGAGAGATTTCAAATTGTCAAGAAATGATGCTTGCATAATGTTGGAAACAAAAGGGTGTCGATGGGGTCTTATTGGGGTATTACACTAGTTTATAGGCTGTGTTACTGATACAACATGTGTTGATGTGTCCAAAAAGAGGTAGGGAGTAGGATTGTGGTGTTCCTAAGAAAAGAAAGACAATACCTCAAGTTGTGTTTGTGCATGATGAGATGACCTTCAAGAAAGGTCTTGGTTCTTGAGGTGGGTGTTCTCTTGCCTTAGGGTAAACATTTATTTCACATCCTTCTCACATTGTTGGTGTTAGCGAACAACCTCTGAGAGATCTGTGTCATTGACTACCTCAGCATAATCTTCATCAAAACAACGTTCATCAACAACTGGGTTCTTTCGAGTAGTAACCATTATGGAAGAATTACAGTTTGTTTGTTGCTTGGAGCCTTGACTTTAGGCCTCACAATAGGCAT